TCTGGGTTGCTGCTTCTTGGGGGGGAGAAAGAGACCCCCCTCTTCCCCGAGCAGGAATCGGGAAGGGTTTGCATCTAGGCTCTCAGGCTGCAAGAAGATCCCCAGCTGGAGGGGGGCCTGCCCCTTCGAAGGAGTTTCCTCCTATCCAGGGTCTGCAGCCTGGTTCAGTGTCTTTAGCACCCCGGTGCCCCTATCTCCGGTTGTCTGTGCTGCTTCTTGGGGGGGAGAAAGAGACCCCCCTCTTCCCCGAGCAGGAATCGGGAAGGGTTTGCATCTAGGCTCTCAGGCTGCAAGAAGATCCCCAGCTGGAGGGGGGCCTGCCCCTTCGAAGGAGTTTCCTCCTATCCAGGGTCTGCAGCCTGGTTCAGTGTCTTTAGCACCCCGGTGCCCCTATCTCCGGTTGTCTGCAGCTGCTCTGCGCTGGGGTGGTTTTCGGGGTCCTTTGAGTCTTTCCTCTCCAATGCTCCAGCCAAAGGCTGGGTCCTGAGTGGGTGTATCTGGCTCAGCACCCTATAGGAAGACTATGTTGATTTACACCTGCTGAGGATCTGACCCTGCCTTTCTGTTTCTCTGGCTTTTTGCCTGGCTTCCCCTCACCATTCAGGCCCCTCTGCGTGGAGCCATTTCAGTTTTGGGGTGTGCATGGGGTTGAGCATTTGCTTGGCTTGGAGGAGAGCAGCAACATACCAGAGCTGTGTGTTCAATGCCCATACTGAAGTTGGCCTGTTCAGAGGCTTTGCATCCGAGCCAGGCTGGTCATGGTGTAGGTGGGTCTGGAGCATGGGAACTGTGCTGGAGCTGTGGGGCTCCTCTTCTTCAAACCATCTCCCTGCTTCAGGGTCAAGTAGGTGTGACACCCCCTGACTTTGATTCAGGCCATGCCTGGCCAGGTGAGCTGAAATCTGGCCTCCCCTCTGGACGAAGTCCTGGCAGAAGCGAGGTTGTGTACACCTGGCCCTCGCAGAGGCCTAGAATGCTTCATGCAAGCAGCTCAACCTTTGTGTCTGTGGCACTTCCCAAGGAGGTAGAAAGCGGACTCAAACTCCCCTGTTTAGATACAGAGTGGGTTGGGAAACTGAGGCACGGAGCAGTGTCTTGCTCAAGATGGCCCAGCAGCAGAGCTGAGACTAGAACCCAGGTGGCTTAACTACCAGCCTGGTGCGTGCCCCCCTCCCCACCTGGACTCAAACTGAGCACTGCGGGGCGGGGGGAGACTTCCCTCCAACACATGCCCCTAGATCCAGGGTAGGCAATAATTTTTGATGGGGAGGGGCACTCTAAGATTTTGTAAAGTGGCTGAGGGCTGCACTCTTCCATGATATTAATGGAGATGCAGGCTCTGGTATGGAGGGTGGGTGCAGAAGGGAGCTTGGGGTAAGGGACTTGGGTGCAGGGTTTGGCATGTGACCTAGGGCAGGAGGGGATTGTGATCTGGGGCAAGAGATGGGGGGGGGGGGGGGGGGGGAGGAGGGGGTATGTTGAGTTGGGGCAGGAAAGGGCTGGGGTGCCAGAAGCAGGCTGTGGCCAAGAAACTTACTTGCCAGTTGCCGAAGGAACCTGCCTGCCTGCAGAGCTTAAAAATGTTTCTTAGCCCGCCAGCCAGCCTGCTTGCCTGGCCATGTGCTTCAACTGAGCTCAGGAGAGGGGGCGTGATTCTTCTTAGCTGCCTGTTAATCTAATAAACTGGCCAATGGGAGTGTGCTGAGGGAGGGCTGGCTCCCTTTCCAGTTTCAAAACAGAAACTGAGCCCTGCTGCTGCTTTTCTGCACAGGGCTGTGGGGTAACACCTGGGGCTCCCTGCTGGATCCAAGGGCTGGGCGGGCTGTACTTTGCACAGGCCTGCCCTAGATGGTCAAGCTTCCCACGGCACAGCTGCTTGCTCCCGTTCCAGTGAATGGTTATTCCCAGCTTCTAAGGGAGCTGCAGTTCCACTAGCCCTCCCCAGGCCCGCCAGCCTAGCAGGCCCTGGACAGAGTAACTGGCTAATGGCACAAGCCCGCCGGGAGCCCCTGAGCTGGAGGCAGGTGGCTCCGTTTCCTCTCCTGGGCTTGGGCGTGACTTGCGGTGCTGTCTGATCCAACCCTAAACTGTTTGGCTGCTGAGGTCTTGTGTAGCTGGCTCCCTGCCATAGCACAGGGCCTGCTAAGGGCTCCTCCAGCAATTGCCTGGCTACATTCCTCCCCGCCTTCAAAACCCCCTTGGAAATCCCTCCCAGCTGCGTAGGGGGGGTCTAGGCACACAGCTGAGCAGTTGAGATTCCATCCAGCAGAGGGCAGTGTGCTATCTTCCCATGCCCTGCAAGCATCTGGATCAACGCTGCCCTTTGCTACCTGACATCCCTGCAGTGAAGGGAAACAGAGGCACGGAGCGGAAAGGAAACAGCTTGCCTTCTGTGAGTTGGGTGGGGGAGGGAACCCATGAATCCTAATGCTGCTTCTGTGCTGTAACCACTAGGCCATCCAGTCTCATGCTTTACAGTCCCCTATCCCTTGCAGCTCACCATGGAAACTTAAACTAGCAGATGGCATGCTTAGGGGGTCCTCTGATTTCCCCCCATGGCTCCCAAACAGGGTTTTGGTTACTGATGCCCAGGAATGTGTGTATTCAGCATCCCCTTTCTCAGCCTGTCTGCTGATGGCTGTTCCTTGCCTCATGGGCACCTGGCTGCTGGGCTGCCTTCTTTCTAACCAACCCCCCTCTCTGCCCTTACAGGCCTTCCTGAAGTTAAGTTTGGGGCAGGAGCCTGGCACCATGGCGAGGAGCCGGGGGGGTTACCAGCGTGCCTTCTCCGCCTGCCCGGTGGTGCTGTCTGATGGTGCCGAGCCCCTGGAGGAGGATGCTGGTGGCACAGAGGTCCTGTGGTCCCTCCACAGCCAGTGGGGCTGGGCACCAGCGCTGCCCCGCACCAGCCTGCAGCGCATCCCATTCCAGGCAGAGCGCTCGGCCAGCATGATTGAGAGCTGCTGGGAGGGTGCGCACACCTCGTCCCGCTACAAGACCGAGCTGTGCCGTACTTACGAGGAGAGCGGGGCCTGCAAGTACGGGGCCAAGTGCCAGTTTGCCCACGGGGTCAGGGAGCTGCGAGGCCTGAGCCGCCACCCCAAGTACAAGACGGAGCTGTGCCGGACCTTCCACTCGGCCGGCTTCTGCCCCTACGGCTCCCGCTGCCACTTCATCCACAACGCGGAGGAACAGCGCCAGCCCCTGCGCCTGGGGGGTGGCTCCCCCGCCCACTGCGGCTTCTCCCTGTCGCCCCCACCCTCCGCCTCCCATAGCCCCTTGCTGCCCCTGCCAGTAGGGCTGGCTGGGCCCTGCTGCTGCCACCACCCAGCTGGGGATTCCCCCTGTCTGGCCTTTCAAGCTAGTGCTGCCACCACCACCGTGAGCCAAGATGGAGCAGGAGGGACCCTGGCTGCCCCCAGTGCCTTTGCCTTTCCTGGGCAGCTGTTACAAAGAAGCTTGTCGTGCGACTCCCTCTCCGATCAGGAGGACTCGGGAGGCAGCAGCGGGTCTGAGTCGCCGGGTCTGAGGCCCGGCGGGCACCGGCTCCCCATCTTCAGTCGCCTGTCTGTCTCTGACTAGCAGGTGCTCAGTGAGCCTTTGGCACTGTGGTCCTTGCTTCCCCCTCCTCTGCCCCCTTTCCTGGGGGTAATGTTTAAATTGTGGCTCCCTGCCTGGACTCGGGGACCTGTGGGTGGGTTGGAGGCTATCGGGTCAGAGCAGAAAGGGTTAATAGACTCCCAGGCTGTGAGATTAACTGGGTGGGGGGCCAAACATAAGCCCCGCCTTTCCCTCTGGGATCAGTGATCACTAAGCCATGGGCTGGACCACCTCCCTCTGGTGTAAATGCGTTCCACTCCTGGCGGAACTCACCAGTGCGGCAGAAGAGAGGAGAACAAGGCAGGGGAAAGGGAGTGTGCTTTCCCCATCACCATGTGCCACAGACCGTTGCTTATACCAGTGCATGTTGCTGCTCCATCTGATCCAGCAGCACCTTGCGCTGGTATAAACAGCCAGGCCAGGTGGGGGAAAAAACCCCTCTCCTGGGTGGCGAACAGAGTCTGGCTATTCCCACTTCTGTGCGGGGAAGCGGAGGTGGGGTGAGGTGCTGACAGCTGCATCTCCTGCTGGGGGTGGATTCTGGGTCAGATGTGACCCGCAGGGCACCTCTGGGAACTCGGCTGGGTGACTTCTGAAAAGACAGCTGACCGTGAACAAGCCCAGTTGCTGGGATTAAGGGTTTGTGGGGGGGGCCAAGTCTGTTGCTCTGCAGAAGGGGCGGTGAGACGTGAAATAGATGAGGTGCCGAAACTGACTGGTGACCAGTCACATGAGGCGGCCTGGGGCAGGGGAGGTGGGGAACAGAAAGGAAACTGCTTTCCAAAGACTTTCCCGCTTCTCTTGGGCAGGCGGGCTGCAGGAAGAGGAAGAGGGTTGTAAACAGATGATTGTGATCTCTGCCCTGGAGCCCTTGTGAGTGTCATGAGCAACCCCTGTGGCCTTGCTGCCTGCCTGCTAGGTGCTGCTTCTCCCTCAGGCTCAAACATCCAACTGCTGTTGATCCTGCCACCCTGTGCTGCCAGCTGTGACTTCAACTTGCTGCTCAAACTCTCTACAGCCGGGCTGGGCCGTAGGACTCCCCCTCCAGCAGGGGTGCTAGCTGGACACCCCTCTCCCCTTTCTGGAAGCCTGATCAGACCCCTCCCTGGGTGCTAAAATGAAAGCAAACTCCCCTCCTCCTTTGCTCGTGAAATCCCAGTTTGGGAGGCTTTGGCAGGCAATTCCTGGCTTTCCTGCCGGCTTTCTGCCCCCGCCCTCTCCTCTCAAGTCCTCTGGATCCCCCACAGGGAGGAGCTAGAGGCTGCCTCTTGGCATAGCAATCAGGTGGAATATGATAGCAAATTAACTAGCATTTTGGGCAGGGGGTCCAGCATCTGGCAAGCAAATAGAGCTGGTGTTCCCCAGCTCCACCACTGTACCCCAGGCTAGATTTCTCCAGGTAGCTGTCCCTGTCCAGGCTCGAGCTCCTGGGCAAAACCTGCCTGTTCTTAAAGGCCTCAGCTCCCTACAGCAAAACTGACCCTGATCTTTGGGGCTGAATCACACCAGGGCCAGATTCTGTAAGAGGATTTAGATTTAAATTGGGGCTGCTGACTTTCTTCCTCCTCCCATCCCCTCCTGTTTCAAATCCACCTGCTATTCTCTGCCCCCGTTGGGCTGGGAATGGCGCAATATTCGGCTAGGGATTAATTTCAGTCTGTCCCTATAAGAAGGGTGGACCCTCACCTCTGCAGGATCCGTATGCTGGCTGGCTGCTCTAGATGTCTTTCCCTCTTTCAGCCATCTTCTGCTCTTTTGAAGAAAGCTATTCCTCTTTAAAGGTAGCAGGAGTTCTCTGTTAGCAGGGCTAGTGGTTAAGGTAAGGAGTTTTTAGGGAATAATGTAAACTCCATGGAACTCATCAAACCCGTGCATCTAAGGGCTATTTTAGGGAATAGTGTAAATTCCATGGAACTGCTCAAACCTGTGCATCTAAGGGTTAATCTATGTGGGAAGGAGATGGACTAGAATCTCTTCTTTGGAAGCTCACAAATTATTCCAGCATGACAATTCTGGAATAAAGTTTGCTCTGGAATGGAGCAGGGATGTAGGGAGCCCATCCCCAGACAAGCCTGTGGTCAAATGTAAGATTGTGAGAGCCTCAGTCTGAGGGGCTTTTATTATTTTAAACTATTTATTATCTTTAAATCTATTTCTAATATTTGGAACCAAATTCTTTTAGAGGAGCTTAAACTTATTTTAGTTTATCCTGTGCACTGAAATCTCAGGACCAGTGCTTGCCTTATGTTTCTGACTAAGCATTCTGACTGTAAGCATGCTGAATCTAACTTATTGTAAAGCTGTATTTGGTTTATTTATAGTGGTTTCACTCTGCTTTTTTGTATGGTTCTATAAAATTAATATAATGAGTGACTCTTATCTATTGTACCTATTACCTGACTGGAATAAAACTGTCTTTTTTGTGCATCTGGCACTCTGCTTAATCTTTGAGGTTGTAATGGACAGGGGGAGTGCTGTCCAGGACCCAGTAACTAAGGGGTTAAACTCGGGTAGCTAGCAAAGGGGTTGGCAGGGAGCCAGAGAATCAAGGGGCATATGGTGTTGAATTTTGAGTTGTAGAAGATTCCTTGCCTGCTTTCTTTTGGGGGGAGGTTTAAGCCAGGGGTTGAGACAGGATGATTTAAACTCAGGCAGGAATACCCTGCCTCCCAGGAATTCAGGGCATGGAAGTGGTCTGAACAAAGAGGACTATAAGTAAAGGGGGGGGGGAGTTAATTTAGTTGCATTCAAGGTAATTTTTTCTTTACTTTTGTGGCTTGGTTTGAGCTGCTCTGTGAATCGCTCTGTGAATCGCTGTATCTCCTCTCCCCATTTACCATCTAGCATTGTTTCCAGCGACTTTTTTTCCCCTCTGTTTTAATTTGTTTTCCTTAGTTGCTCTGTAACATCTAGCAACCAACTATACTTTATCCAGTATATCTTTTATTTTTGTAATAAAAAATCACTTGGGTGGTTTGATTCTTGTGCCCTGGAAGGTCGGTCTGTCTGCATGCCTCAGACTAAGTGGTCAGCTACCCGAGACTGCAGCTTGTTTTCCTCTTTCCTTTTTTCAAGCTCTTCTAGGACAAAAGAGCTTGGGGTACCCCCGGGGGCAGGTTCAAGTGTTCACCCCTGGCTTTTAGGGATAAAAATCACTTGCTGGTGGCAGCAGTCCCCCAAAATCTGTTGTGATTCTGGGGGGGAAGACTTGCGTAACCAGTGCCTGTAAGGTTTGAAGCTCTTGCTGGTCCTCCCCTTCTACACTTGGAGTGCCGGGGTGGGGGACAGCCCTGACGGAGGCAAAGGCTGGATTTATTTATTGGCAATGGCTTAGTATTTTAGTAGCAACTTGCAGAGGAAGAATATCAATTTTGGCCCTGATCTTGCACATGCATAATGGGAAGCTTCTACAGCTAAACCCATGTTGAATTTTAAGCGAGAGTGGGTGTCCAGTTCCATGTTTCAGGGGCCAATCTCCAATCCACTGACCCTTGGATTCTCCAGACTTTACCGAGCAACAGCTATTTAAACACCAAGCAGCAAACGTTACAGGGATGTTGGCCTGTCATCTGGAAAAAGGGTAGCAATTCTCACTTGGGCTGGCCGGCTGAATCTGGCCTTCTGAGACTGGGTGCTGCTCCTTGCACCACAACTGGCCCTGCTGCATGACCTTGGGCAAGCCAAGTCACGGCTCTACCTCTGTGTCCCAAACTGGCGATGCTGCCATATGTTGAAAACTTCTTTTGACAAACATCTGGTCTTGGGGTTATCTTCCACTGTCGTGGGGGCACACCTGTGCCCCACCCCCTCAACAACTAATTTGCTTAACACTTCACCCCTACTCTAGAATTTTCTTTGATGGGTGGACCCCTGTGCTCTAGAATTTCCCCCAACTTATAAACAATGGCTATTTAGCCCATGCTGGGACTAAAGCAACCCCCTGTGGGGCTATAAGAGGAGTGTCCGCTGCACAATGCTGTGCTGTTTTGTCTTGTCCTCACCACACTGCCTCAGGCAGGGCTGCCTGTCCTGTTTTCTCTCCAACACATTTTGGTGACAGCTCTCCTCTAGCCACTGGTTTGACCAACGCTATTGCCAATGTAACTTGTCTGGCCTGGTAGCATGAGTACTGGAACCAAAGTTGTTCTGTGATCAACTGGCAGCATGGCCATAAACATAAGAGCTGCCAGGCCGGCTCAGACCAGTCTTGCCGATATCCTATCTCTGCCAGAGCTTCTGGGGGAGTGTACAGAGCAAGGCATGTCCCGCTCCTGGCTCTTAGCACTCAGAGCTGTAGGGTCATACCAAGCAGGGGTATTAGCTGTTGATACAGCTGTTCTCCAGGAGCTTAGCCAGAAGTCCTACCCAATTACTGGATATCACAACATCCTGTGGCAATGAGTTCCACAGGTTAGTCAGGCATGTGGAAAATTTTGCTCTTGTTTATATTAACCTACAGCTTCAGGTGATTCTTTCTGCCCCCCCATGATTTATTTTTTTAATAGCTGTCTATCCTCATCCCTCCTTTCCCAGCTGAACAGCCCTGATCCTTGTAGCCTCCACACCTGGAAGCTGTTCCATATCATTGGGGCTGATCAGCTGGCTGGTATTTGAATCTTTCCTCCGGGTGTCCCAAGCGCTCGGTTTACTGGTAACACTGCTGGGGTTTCGATAATTGTGTGCTCTTCCCAGTTTCCAGATGACGGAGAGTTCTGCCCTATGACTAGACTTGCTTTCCAAACACCCTCAGCTGGCTGCCCCGGGCAGCTAACCTCCATTTAACCCCTGCTGGGTGGGGTTGGGTCTGACCTTGAGGGTGGTGAGTGGCTTAGAGGAGCCTGGCAGTTTCCAGTCACATGGAGTTGCCTGTAGGGTTTGGCCAGCCACAGCCCATGCTGCTGTGTGACATGTCACTCCTTGTGCAGGGCAGCTCCCTGGGGTGAGGGTTCAGAGGGGCTCTTGTGAACAGACACGGCATTGTTCCTGTGCCAAGGAGCACTGTTGGCAAGGGAGCAGGAACCGAGCCTTCAACGTAACAGGCCAAGCGTCTCTCCCCCCAGGCCGGGGGTTACAGTCGTGCAAAGTGAACTAAACTGGGAGCGCTCCTGTTTGTGCTGTCAGGTGCTGCACTGCCTCTAGGGTACGGGGGCAGAGGTGGAGGGATTATTCTGTGGAAGCGGCTAGTTCCTAGAGGCCACATCAAAGAGGACCCTACTAGGCCAACCCCTGCCTAGAGACAGGCGGTGCCCTGAAGAGCTTGCAATTAAAATAGATGAGGGGAAACTGAGGCATGGGATGGGGACATGAATGGCTCATGGTCACTGGGGACACCGAGGCTGCCTTCACTACAAATTAAAGGGATGGTATTAGCAGGCACAAAGTCCCAGGAAAGCTACAACTTTCCTCGTCTTCATTTCGGTTTTGTCCTGGATTGGGTGACAGTGAGGAAACAACACCCGCAATAGAACCCAGGAGTCCTGGGGTTTGCCCTAAGGCCGTGGGGGAGCACAGGCCCAAGGGCCCTGTCTTGTTTGAAAACCAGGTGGCTAAGGGCTGCTCAAAGCCCCCTCCCCAATTGATCTTAAAAAAAAAAAATCTTTCAACACTAAGTGCTTGTGCCTGAAATTTCAGGGGCCTGAGCGTATTCAGAGCATCCCAGCCAAGCTAGCGGATAGAATTGACCCGCTGCCCAAGAGGGGAGGTCTCCACTAGCCTTCAGTGAACCCCATCTCCCCCTCCTCCCTCAGCAGAGATTAGGGGTGGGCCAGCTGGGAAGGGGGATGGGTTTGGGCCCCATATGTCCCTGTGATGTGCCGAACCAAGCCATCCGCGCCCAGTCACCTCCCCTCAGTCCCTGACCCCATGGCTCAGTTTTAAAGAGCTTATGTGGCAGCCTCTCTGGAGAGGGGGAGGCAGCTGTTCTGTTTACATAGTGGGGTGGGGATGGGGGGGAGCCCTCTTAGCTGTTTGCACCAGTGTCTTGGGCCCTCTGGAGATCGGGCAGGATCGGGGTTTGCCCCCGCAGAAGGGGTAGGGCAGGGTTCTGCTCAGAGCCAGCCAAAGGCTGGCGTGTTCACACCCTTGAGTCTGATTTCTGCACCCCCCGACGGCCAGCCCCCTTCACCCATCTGCTCGCAGCCCCTGCGGACGTGCTAATGGAGGCTGTCCCCTTCCACTGGCAGGTGGGAGCATAGCTGGGGACACTTCCAGCCAGCTTTTGGGATCTGCCAGCCTTTGAAAGGCCCCACTTCCATCCGCTTCGGCCTGGCCCCCCTCTGTACTCGGGCCTTGACTGCTCCAGCTGGTCCCCTGGTTGCAGCCAGTCCCAGAGGTCTGACACAAAGGGGTCCACTGTTACCATAATACAGCTAATAACCCTAAAAGTGTACAGCACCTAGCACAATCGGGCCATGACAGGCCTCTTAGGTACTACCATAATACACCTAATTTTAACACAACTGTACAGCTCTTGATACAAGACAGGCCTGGTGTATGATGTGTGCCTAGATGCTACCGTAATACACCCAGTAGCAATAAAAATGTACAGTGCTTGGCACAAGAGAGACCTAGGCCTGACCAGGGGCTGCTGTGGTAGAAAAGCACCATGGGACTGATTAAAGGGCCGGGAAACCTGTCTTCTGGCAAAAGGCAACAGGTCCTTTGTGAGGCCTAATAGATCATGCATGGTGTGGGGCTGGGCTCTGTTGCTGGATGACGCTGGGCACATCATGGCCCTGTTCCGTGCCTCAGTTTCCCTACCTTTAAAATGAAGATAATTCTACCAACCTCTTTGGGAGCAGCAGGTGAAAAGTGCCAGATGAGCTAGGACCAGTGTTCCCTCTAAGCTGGGGGGGAGCCCAGCTTCATAGGTGGTTAATCAGCCCCGCTCTAGAACCCTGAGCCTCTGACTGGGAAGAGCTGATTAATCACCTGGGATGCTTAGTGGGCCACTGGCTAGGACCCTGAATAATTTGAGGAACTTCATGGCTGTTACTGGTTAAGCAGCAATTGGATCCTGGCCTAGAGGAGGAGATTTCTAGCTGAGTTCATCAGCCGTCTAGCAGCCCAATGAGAGCCTGGACATGGGGGTGGGAGCACGTGTTTCACAGAGAAGGAGTTTAACCAACAGAGCAGCTCCCCAAGGGACAGGGTGGATTCTCCACCTCTCAGGGTCTTTAACTCAAGATGGGGTGCCTCTCAGTGACAGCCACTCTAGCTCACCCACAAGATAAGGGCTGGCATGAGGAGGCGGGATGAGCTGGCTTAGTCCCCAGGCAGCAAGGAGCCGCCTTTTCTACTATGTTGGAACTCTGGTGCTGGTTTTGCTGCAGTGGAGGGGTTAGTAAAGTTATGTGCTTGTTCCCGTAATGTAAGAACTAGGGGTCACCACATAAAGTGAACAGGTAGCAGGTTCAAACTAACAAAAGGAAGTTT